AGCTGAAGTGATAAAATTGCACTAAATCAGTGTTAAAATACAGAAAAGCAGACTGATTTGTGGATTTTGTACCAATATCACTACTATTACTACTTCAGCATGTATGTTTGCTAAGCAGCTTTATGAACATATTATATGTATAAATATAAACATCTGATGAACATAATGGATTTCCCAAAGGAGAATATATTTAAGTAGGGTCCATATTTGGTAAAACCATCGAAAATATTTGAAAAGGATAAAGATTTTAGCCAGACCAATATATCAAACTTTTTATTCACAGAAATGCTACAAATGCATTGGATAAGAAATGTACAATTAACTTTCCCAAGGACCACATGAAACACTGGGGCTGTTGTGGAGGGCTGCCCCCACTACCACTGCCCCCTGCCCCCACCCTGTTCCTTTCCTGCTGCCATCCCTGTTGGCCCCCGGCCTAACGACACCTCCAACACTGCAGGCTGGACATGGACAACAGAAGGACCAGATGTGGTGTGTGAATCGTAAAATGCCCAGATCTGCATTGGAGGGACACACATGTAATAGCAACAAGAGTTGGAAGGTACCTTGGAGGTCATCTAGTCCAACCCCGTTCTTGTAGGAGACCCATACTATTTCTGATAAATGGCTGTTCACTCTCTTCTTAAAAGCCTCCAGTGATGGAGCATTTTGAAATACTCCAGTAACTCTTCAAGGCTTTCTATACTATGCTAGTACTGATGAATCTTCAAAGTAAGCGGAAAAGCATAATTAACTCTCATGTCTGCTGATCACTTCATCTTCTTTAAATGTAGCAATGACATTTATTTTTTAATCTCGCTACTGTACCATGATACTGTTCTTAGTTGGAAGTAAGGAAAAGCAATCACCGTTTGGCTTTATACCTGATATGGTGATTAGATTCTTTTTCCACTTCACATTCCAAAGCAATCTCATGAAAGTTATATAGGTAAATTTACTGTGGAAAATTAGGAAGTCATACGTACAAGAAATTATGCACAAGAAATTCTCTAACAAGACCTTGAATTCTGACTCTCTCTTCCTATCTTTTCAATTCAACAATCATGTGGTCCTGAAAATTCCTGCCATCTTCCCCTTGTTTATAAAACAGCTATCTCTGACATGAGAATATGCACTTCTCCAACTTTCAACTTTATAATTTATTGTAAATAAAAGTGGCAATTTATTGTAATAAAAGTGGCAATTGCAACAGTTTCCAAAGTGTGTGTGTGTGTGTGTGTGTGTGTGTGTACCAAATTTTAACTATCACCCAAATAAATAAAAAAAAACCTATTAACAGAATAACAGAGTTGGAAAGGACCTTGGAGGTCTTCTAGTCCAAACCCTGAAGGAAACCCTATACCTTTTCAGACAAATGGTTGTCCAATCTCTTCTTAAAATCCTCCAGCACTGGAATACCCACAATTTCTGGGAGCAGGTATGATATCATGTCTCTTACAACCTTATTAGATCTAACATTTCTAGACAGAAATACAGAACCTGTCGTCCCTAATTACTGGAAAGGTTGAAAGATTTTCAAATCATTTCATACCATTCCTTCATTTACAGTAGCAGTGCTCAACCTTTCCGGCTTTGCGTGTGTGGATGGGGAAAGGGAATGGTTCTGCGTGAGCAGCAGGCAAGTGGCATGCACGACTCCATTTTCAGGTCATGTGCAGAGAACTTTTTCCCAAAGCCGGGTGGGTGATTTCATTGTCATGTGCAGAGTGCTTTCCAGATGTTTCTGGTCATGTGCAGAGAGCTTTCCACCAAAAGCTGGGTGGGTGATTTCATGGTGTTTCTGGTCATGTGCAGAGTGCATTTGGCTGGAGAGTCGCAGCAATGTTTCCCCAAAGCAGACACCGATGCTTGAAAAGAGCAATGCTGAGAAGAGGTTTTTTTTCCCCAGTTTGGACTCCAAACTTTCCTGAACATGCAGCCCCATTTCCGTGGTACATTAGACCACAGCTAAATGAAGCTGCAAACTGCAATCTGTTTGACAGGCAAGGATTTGAATGCAACTCAATAACTCATAAGCACACCAACGTGCCTACCGTCCTTGTCCTATTGTTTCTTTTATTTTTTAATTTTTCTTATATGTATCCATGTATTAATAATTATGTTTTTACTTATACCTATTATCTTGTAAGCAATTGACAAAAATAAATAAATAAAAACCCTTTTTAGTTTGTAAAAAAGCTGACAACCCACCTCATTGCTTCCCAAAGCTGTCCTTATTTTCAGAGCAAGATACCTTGAAACATTAAGAAATGTGGCCTTTACAAGAAAAGTTGCAGGGCGGTGAGGGCTTCCCATTTTGACACCCCAACCCCCTGCCGTTGCCTCCATGCAGTTGCCTCCAACTCCACTCTCTGCTCATCGCCGCCCCCCTCTGACAGCCCATTCACTCACTCGCCCACCCACCTGGCTTTCAATCCAGTACCCACAGTGAATTATTCCTACATCAGATTTCCATGTTGAGATGTCCTGCAAAGAAATCACCATCTTTTTGCAGCAAGTTGGAAGAGGGGACTTGGCAGGGGTGAGAAGGTTGCTCCCAGTTGGCTGCATCAAGCTAGCAGCGTTGAGTTGTCCCATATTAAGCCAGTCTTTTACAAGCAACCTTAATGAACTGAGCTTTATAGATAAACAGCATAAGCTTTGGCCAGCTGTGCATTGTATGGAGCCTGTTCTTTTCAAACTACTTTCGGATAGGATGTTCCAAGATCAAGACTCAGTTTGGTTTTAACTCTCCCAAAATCAACTCCTTTCGTTCTATGAAGAAGGAACTGATATTTTTCCACCTGACATGAAAAATAAGTCATCTCATCTCATATTATGTATCTTTCCACCTTTGGTTACTAGTGTTCTTAGTGATTCCCTAATCAAAAAGTTTGCTTCTGTATGGCGACACAGTGCTCCAGTCATAGCTGAGACATCTATGGAAAATATATATTTTACCCCAGATTTTGCTTTACCATCCCAAGGTACTATACTTTGTAAGTACAGTACGAAGACATTGTAGCATTTATTTTCTGGACCATACTTCAACCCATATTACTCATATATAAAATACAGGAATATGATACAATGTAATCTCAAAAATCCAAGTAACAAAGCTTTGAAATTTAAACTATAACATCTACAGTACCTGGCACACTATTCACTATCTCTCCAAGTAACAAGAAGAAGCACTGAAAATAATCTTAACTCTTAAAAGCCTGGTGAAAGAAATGTCTTTAATGATTCTGTAAATGGAAAGAAAGTGCAGGCCAAGCACAACCCAGGGAGATATTCCACAGCCCAAGAGCAACATAGATTCTCTCCTCCATGTCATAAAAGCATGTCTCTGCCATGTGCCTCTCTTCATATCTTAATAATCACATGGGTTTGTTATATCTTAAGACACAACAGAATAGTTTAAAATATAAAAAGAGGGTCCATTAAACAAAGTCCATTAAACAAAGTGTTTCAGGCCAGCATGCAAGAAATGGGGGGAAGGGAAGAAGCATAAAACACAACAATTTTTGGTGCCTCAGTAATCGTATCTTTTTAAGCTCAAGGCAAGGAACAGCAAAAGTGAGATTTTGGGAGCAGAGGAAGTGCAAAACAGTCACAAAATAAAGGATGCCCAGAGAGGGAGAGGAAAAGCTAGTGTGTGTGGGGGGGTGGGGTGGGGGTGGGGAATCAAAAGATAAAAAGTGAAATCTGTGTTCATGCTAAGGGGTGGAAACAGCAATGGTGAGCACTGATCAGGGAGAGGGCAAGATAGGTACTAGAGGCTTAGGAACACACTGGCAACCACAACGGGTGGCCTCTGAGGCTAATGGGCAATATGGGAAAAAAAGAAGGGAATAAGGGAAAAGGGCAAGAAATGCAATTATAATGCAATTATAATCCTACAACCATGAAATGGGATTACAAGACAGAAAATAAGGCATATGGAGGCATGCCTGAACAATTGTGGATGATGAGCATATGCTCTGGACACTTGGCTTAATTTTGCACTTTGACCTGGCAGACTGGGCCAGAGCATCAGTGACTGTTCCACCTGAAACATCAAAGGATCTTGAAGCAGCCTTGTGCTCTAGATTTTCGAGGGGGGGGGGAAATCCCACCTTATGTTCACTGATTTGTATAAAAAGGAAGTTTTGGTTTGGATGCAGTGATGGTAAAACAATAGAATTTCTGGTGATAGAATATAAACGTCATGGTGAGTCAATGATTATTTGGGAGTTCAAATGCCCTTCATTCACAGGCACCAGCTTTTAAGGAATATGGGGATCTTGATTAAGAAACATTTGGCTCCAATATTGATTTTCAGGCAACCCTGAATGGAGCAAACAACTAGAAAAACTTTACTGTACAAGCCCAAAATTGTAATCCCTGAGCTGTCAGATTCTGTCCCTGGAGTTTTCCTTGAAAGCGTCCTTAAGACACATTTTTCAGATGTTGAAAGTTTGAAACATTTTTACGTTTTCCCTTTTAAAATTGGTTTTCAAAATAGCGGTTACCTCTTGCCACGTTCTTCTTTTGAGTTAGTGTTCCTGAGGTTTTTCTCTTTTATACCGTTAAGTTTTGTTATGATCCTTTAGTTTTTAATTGTGACAAAAAGTTGTTCAGAGAACTTGGAAGGCAGAGAAATGAAGAGTTAAAAACGCTTTCCTCAATTGTACAGTGAAGAATTGTTACCTTGTTTTTTCCTTCATCCCCCCTCAGCCATGCATCACTTTGAGACTCAGAGAACATACTCATAGTTCACCCCCCCACCCCACCCCCCAAAAAACTGGCTGCCGACCAAACCGGTTTGCGACGCCCCGCAGCTCCAACAGCCCGGCCCGGCACGCAAGAAACAGCTCGGTCTAGCCTCCCACCGTGATTCGAGCTTCCCTTCTTGGGAGAAGAGGAGGCGGCCGTGTCCCCCCCCCCCCCCCCCCCCCCTCCCCCCGCCCGCCCCCCCCCCCCGCGTCGGCCGGGCATCTGGAAGCCTTTCAGAAGGACGGCGATGGGGAGCTGGGCCCTGGCGTGGACGGTGCTTTGCAGCCTGGTCGCTGCAACCCTGGGTAAGGCCGGGCTGAGGGCCCGCGGCGCGGGTCCGGCGATGGCCTCTCGGCAGCAGGGGAATAGGAGTGAGGCGCAGGCCTGCTCTGCGAAACAAACGCTGGGTCTGCGCCTGGTCGAGGAAGGGTGGGGGTGAGCGATGGTGCTTTTCTGGGCTCTTTCTGGTTGAACCCGGTTTCTGTTTTGGAAACATTTTTCTATTCCCTCCTGAAAGTAAAGGGCGCTCCTGAGCATGTGTGAAATGCCCCATCACAGCTAGAAGAATTAGAAGAGGGGGGGGAACCCTTATGATCCATCCCTCTCTATCTTTGCTATTTAAGAGTGGGACATGCAGTGTTATTTTGCTGCCTTGATGTTGATGTCCGGGGAATAGTAGTGCCGTTTTCATCTAAGGCTGCGTTTATCTCTGTTGAGCTGGTCTCTATTTTTTTTCCCCCGTTAGAAGAGAGCCTTTGGATTGAAATCCTCAACTGGAATATCACCCCCAAATCAATTTTGGAAACTGGAGGACCAGAAAAATAATCATTAATTTAAAAGTCATACCATTAGGGGGAACTTCTGAGTATCTTCCATTAAATTACACAGGAGCTGGGCAGAAGTGTTGGTATGGAATTTGGGAATGGGGAGAAACAGCGCTTGACAATTACACACCAGAACTTTGTGACAGTTGGCCCCACTCCTTCTAGCAGTGCAGGCTCTTGGAAAGACAGAAATGCCTGCATCTAATCATAGTTGGGTCTATTTCTTTTTCCTGTCTTGTTGAAATGTTTGTGGATGATGATTCTCTGTGAATTATTTTTGGCAGTGGTTAAAGGATGCTAACCTGATAATTATAGGAACCCGTGGGAGTTAAATAACCTGAATTATATGAGATTTAAAAATAAAGAAGCTATTTGTAGAAAGGTGAAATTGTGTCTGGACTGAAGAGACTTAATGTTTAGTGACTGAACATGTTGCTGTCTGCTACTCCCAATACTGCATTGCTGATCCCTGGAAAAGTGGAGTTACCTAACCAGATATAAAGTTGCTCTGATATGATTGCGCCAATGTTTTTTTTTTGCTGATATTAGTTTTGACAGTATTATTTTTGTAATGTAGAACTTTTGCACTATGGGATTCAGTATGTTCAGAAAAGACATGTGCCTTTGAAAGTATAATCTAACATTTATGAAAAGTTAACAAATCAGGAAGATACCATAGAATAGTTTCCAAGTTAATGCTTTTAGAAATATAGATTTATAGATCTGCATAAAACATCTATTCTAAAAGAAATAAGGCTAAGTTGTTCTGTGAAAGACCATGTGAAATATGCTAGTAATTCTAATCACTTATAAACTGAACATGTTAATTATCCTTATGTTCATGAACATAACAAGATGGTTTGTTTTTGGGAAGACCAACTCACTAGCTTCTAAGGCACCTTTTCTTAAACTACTGCAGTGATGGCTAACCTTTTTGGCTCCAAGTGCCCAAAGCACGCAAGTGCGTGTGTGAATGTGTGCGTGCATGTGCAAACTCCCAAATGCAATGCGCATGCATCCCTGCACATGTGCCCCACCCCCAATGCATGTGCGTGTTCTCCCATGTATGCACATGCATCCCCGTGGATGAGTCACACCCCCCCACATGTGCAGCAGAGACCTGAAGACTAGGTGGCAGGTGGGAGGCACGCACGCATGCGCAGCAGAACTGAGCTGGGGCGATGGCTCGTGTGCCCGCAGAGAGGGCTCTGTGTGCACCCTCTGGCACACGTGCCATTGGTTCACCATCATGGATCGAGTGTATTCAGGTGGTGGACTGCAACTTCTTTCATCCTCAGCAAGAATGAATAGAGATGGACTATATCCTAATCCTAGTATACCAGATATTGTTCAATAAAAGAAAATAAAGAAATTGCGCATAAAGCTTCATGAAACCTATTTTATGATGAGAAATATGTTTTCAAGTATTGATGCTATGGAACATCTCTTGTTCTGAAGGTGGCCTATTCTTAGAGTATTGCTCCATATCTATTTGAGAACAATTAATATAAACCAGTTATCCCCTAATTTTGCTAATTATGCTACTGTGGCTAAAATTGAATAAATTATTGAAAATGTTTATTGGTTTAAAGTTACAACAGACGAAGGCTTTTTTTTTTCTTATAAGAGAAAAATTGTGTTGTGAAAAGGAGAATACTTCATTATTCAAGATATAAGGATAATGAGGAAAAGGTTTTTTTCAAAGTTCTGGCAGACAGTATAATTGACTTTTATGCAACGTGTCTAGCGATCCCATAGTTTCTTTGTTTTTACCTTATTTGTGAATTCTGACCATTCTGGTGGTTTATGACTTAAGGTATTATGTGGAAATCTAGGTATTGCAACATAGGGCGGTTAAAAATTCTGGCTCCTGAGGAATTTGTTTCAGGCAATTTTGATGATGATGTAGATTCAGGCTAACATTTTCACTGGTAGAAGGGTTTTTAAAAGGTATTTCAGACAAAAAAAAAATCATTTAAAAAACCCAGCTGACTTTCATCCAAGACTTAGTTAAACCACCGTAATAGATTTTCCCATTTGTTTATAATGGATATTGTACTTCTGTTAGATCTAATAACAGTTTATTAGATGATGAATATTTTTCCTCCCAAATAACTACCTCTCAGCTGAGGTATCATTTTACCTTCACTAATGAGTAGAAGAAGCTGTTGAAAACAATACATAAGCAAAATGGTGTCACTCCCTTCATTTGACAAAGCTTCAATACTAAACTGAATATTGATGCTGGGGGGCGGGGGGAGAATATTTGTGCAATACTCTTCTTTCTCCTTGATTTTTCTCTTAGCCCAGTTCATGCCTCATGCGCATCCAGTTTGCATCTCTATGTAGTTCCCTTTCTCTCATTTAATATTCATCCTGTTTCTCCTCTTGCTGAAAGGGCATGCACGTGTGCATACTTGCATGTTAAGTGAAAGTGGTTTATCTGTGCGAGTTTATGTGGGGACCATTTAATGTTGTAAGTGGGGTGACTTATTTTTAATTATTAATTCAATTAATATAACTATAGTTTTGCTCCAAAGCAGCCTCTGGGGAGAGGAATGTTGCTTCTGGCAACCAAAGATGCACACACATATCTTGTGTGACATATGGAGTAATTTACTGGGTGGGAGGAATAAATTTCAAAGATTTTAGCTGATGTTCATAACCCTTAACAATGCAGAAGACTTTTGTCTTTTGTTTGGAATTTCCCCCTCCTATGCTTCCTTTGAGGATAGGGTTTTTTTTAATTTGAACTTTTGTATACAAAATATGTTTAGAATCCTTTTCTTTCTTTCTTTCTTTCTTTCTTTCTTTCTTTCTTTCTTTCTTTCTTTCTTTCTTTCTTCTTTTTTTCGACAGTTGGGAATTACACTGATTTTTGTGCAGTAAAGTGCTATTTGCTTGAGTCTTGTTTTATTTTACACCATCTGTAATCATAATAAAAATAGATACAATTAGAATGAAATCTTGACATATTAAAAAAAACCTCTAATATCCCTTTTGGCTGTAGAACAGCATCCGAAAGGACAGACTTCTAATCATTAAATGAGGTTTCCATTGCTAGAGCCAAAGTGCTTCTTGTCAACTTCACAGAAAGTTAGAAAATATTAATTCTGTTTTTACTGTATGGGATGGAGGGATGGTGCTTATGGCCCAAGATTGCTGGCATTAATTGAGCAAGCATATTCAAGGCAGTTCCAAGGTGAATACCATAGTGGAACTTTGAATTCTTTGAATCTGGGATAAATGAGAATTTGTTGTGGATTTTTGAAGGAAAGGAAGTTCAAAATACTTGAAGATCAGGAAATTCCAATAGCAAGGAGAAAAAAAAATTGATATATCCATTGAGAAGATAAAATTAGATAGGAAGGAATGGATTGTAGAATGAAATAGAAATTATGGCTGATGAATTTCTACTGAATTACTTGATGAAAGGATCTAGCTGGCTTCATTTTTAATGCCTAAAGCAATTTATTCAGTTTGAAAGTATTTCGTATCCTGTTGCCCAGTTTGGATGTACAGCAGTTCTCAAGATCACTATTGGGATTAGTGAATCCTGCTTGTATCTGGAACCTGGTCATTCATTTGTGTAGTGCTGTCCATGGTGCTGACACCTGCAGCTGATTAAGACTCCACGCATTCTTTCACACAACCTGAGAGTGTTTCTCCAATGAGGCCCTGCTTGTGATGGGTATGTTATATCTGCAAACTCTGTTAATGATATATTATCAAGGTAGCTAGTTTTTTGGCCTCTTGATAGTGGCTTTGTATTCTAAAAAACTGTTGAGAAGAACAGGTATGCAATGTTTCATCTCCATATCTTGTATAATTCAATTTTAATTCCCAAACAGCATGTCCAACTAATACAATAGCTAATTGATGTTCTGGAGAGGGATCATAGGAGTTGTGGGATAAACATAAAGAAGTGGAGCTGAAGGGTTCTAATCTTATTGTGAGTCTACAAATAGTACTTATAGTATTACTGTAGTCAAAGCAATAATCAAATTATTTAGCCCAACCTTTCCTAGCTTCATGCATTCTGAATGACTTTAATTTTAATTAAATTAAATTAAAATTTTAATTTAATTAAAATAAGAGCCTCGGTGGCGCAATGATTAGAGTGCAGTACTGCAGGCTACTTCTGCTGGCTGCCTGCAATTTGGCAGTTCAAATCCCACCAGGCTCAAGATTGACTCAGCCTTCATCCTTCTGAAGTGGGTAAAATGAGAACTCTGATTGTTGGCAGCAATATGCTGACTCCATAAAACCGCTCAGAGAGGGCCGTAAAGCACTATAAAGCAGTATATAAGTCTAAGTGCTACTGCTAATTCTCATGATTTCTAGCAGATATAGGCGTTGGTCATGCTACAAAAAGTCCTCAACGTTTTATTTTATTTTTGTTGTATTTTTTAACTTACCATTATGTTTATAACTTGCCTATTTTGAGAGTTTTAGGTTTTTGGAAAGAATCCTGAGAGTTATGTTTGTTTGAGAGAGAATCATTGGCTCAAGATCACCTGTTGAGCCCCATTATTAATGGAGACATCTGACATCTGAACAATGTTGGGCATGCTGGCTATCAATCATGGAATAATTTTACTTGCAGAAGATTGCACATTTGTCAAACTGTTTATTCAGGGTGAATGCATATTTGAAGATTTGAAATAAAAAAGGGATGTTAAGAAAACTGGACTAGAGAAACCCTTTCCCTTTCACAAGGAGGAAGGATATAACTCAGGCAGGAATCCAGCCCTCCTGCAAATGCCCATTGAAGAGGAAGGAAAGTTTCCCCCGGTTTTACATACAATAAGGGATAGGTGCTTTTACTTTTATATACAATAAGGGATAGGTGCTTTTTACTGTACTGAAGACCAGAAATTTTAATTATTCAAACTCTGTAATGGGAAAGCCTTTCCCATGGCTTGGCAATATCCTTGAATAAAATATAAAAAAGTAATTAAATTCAACAATAAATAATTTAAGAAAAACCAATTACGTTTCATGAGCTCATCATCTAAGGTTCAAATGGATATGGATGTATGAAAGACAAGCACTTGCCATATAGCACCCTGGGCTTAACAATTATGGAAAGAAAAGATGAAGAAGTCTGGATAGACAGTATAGTGGGAGAGGAAAAAACTGGAGAAAATCATAAAATACAAATATAATATTGATGAATATGCATTAATATCTTTGTCTGCTCAGATATGTCAGGAGATTAGGTTTATGTTGCCTTGCCGTTTCATCTCTTCATTGTGTCAATGGAGAGGAATTCCAGCTGCCTTCTTCCATCTTTTAAAATGACAAAAACACTAATAAAACCATGTTAAAGGATTTATTTGTTAATTGGTTTTTATAGTCGTCCAGTGCCAGGGAAAAAAGAAGGCTGCAGCTTTTCTCTACAGAAAGAGAGAAATACAATTATTTCTCTTACAGAGCATCAAAGAAAGGAAAGGTAACATAAGACAGAAAATGAAACATGAGGCCTGCTTGTTCAGTGACTGAATGGAGCAACTTTGTGTTTCCTGAGTCTCACTTTTGAACACCAGTCCTTTCATAAACATGATTCATTCCAACCGATCAAGTCTGCAAAACTCTGCTGTAGATTCTCATTAATCCAGTTAATAATCAAGAACCTTACATGGATTAGAGCAGCTTTGCTGGCTGAGGAATTCTGGGAGTTGAAGTCCACAGGTCTTAAAGTTGCCAAGATTGGAGACCCCTGGATTAGAGGAAGGTGGTGGGAGGTAGCACTGAATGTGCATATTTGAAAAAAGACACTATTTATGTTCGTAATACTGTTCACATGAGTCATCATAGGCAATGCATTTGTGATTGAATTTTATTTCATATAAACAAGCAAAGAATAGAGGTATTCTTATTTTTAATAAATGGTGCATAGTGGTGAGTAGCTATCATGCTCTATAAAATAAATATGCGGGGAAATTGGTTTTAAGGTTATGAATCCTGTGCAAGGAGTATAGAATCATTATACTAAAATACAGCATATTATATAATGGGTTAAAGTACTGTATTGTCTTAGTTTTGGAATATCCAAATTAATATATCCACTTGATTATGATACTCTCTTGCAACAAACCTATTGCAACAACCCCATTTGCTTAATGGGGTTGTCTGGACAGTAAATTTGCAGCAAAAGATAAATATTACTAGACAGTTGAAGAGAAAGGGACATTGGGAGAATATATAAAGGACAATGAAGAGGATGCACTGAAGTTGGGACCCAATGAAGGCTTACTGAGTAGTGGAGAGACCAAACTGGCCTACCGAATGAAGAATAGGAAAGAGATATGGAAAGGCAAAATATTATGTGACTAATACTTAAAAAAAACAGCAGAGAAAGCAGATAACAAAGCAGACCTGGCAATGATTAAGAGCAGGAAACTTGAAGAAAGAGACAGAGGGGCAAATTTTGCCTGCACAAGACCAAGCCAAATGCATATAAAGCCAGCATTAAGAAGAAAGCAACAGACAACAAATGCAAGCTCTGCAAAGAAACAATGGGCTACTTAGTTAGTGGCAGCAAGAAGATCACACAGACTGACTACGAACAACAGCATGGCAAAGTAGTATCAATGATGCATTTGCCCGCAAGCAAGAACTGATGAGGCCATAAAGTAGAAAAAGTAATAGAAAATGAAGACACTAAAGTCCTTAAGCAAACAGGCATCTGCCACATAACATCCCAGATTTAACAATTGTTATTGTTATTGCCCAAAAGAGCTGGATAATGGACAGCAAAACAGAAGAAAAAGAATGTGAGAAAATCACAAAATATCTGCAAATAAAAGATGACTGTGGCAAAAGCAGCTTTCCTTGAAAGTACTTGCATCTTGCAATAAGTTTAAAAATCATCAAATAATAATGTCTGCCTATCCCAGATCCTCGGGAAGGATGAAAATGCCAAATCCATTCTAAACAGCTGTCTGACTATGTGGGTAATAATAATAATAATAATAATAATAATAATAATAATAATAATAATA